CCGTTCCATCTCCAGGGTGGTGGGAGTGAGCGGATGTCCGTGAAGGTAGCGATTTATTTAGCGTTTTATTCAGCGATGAACTTTGATTTCCTGAAAAAGGTCCCCGGGTCAATTGTGGCGTGAGAAAATAAAAATGACCCTTGTTTTACCAATACCATGTGATCTTCGAGGTCAAAAGCTAGGTCAAAGGACGAGGAACTCGATACTATCCAAAAATTGCCGGCCGATTAAAAAAACATAAGCATCAAAATATTCAAAAGCGCAAGAGCTAGAGTCTGACAGAAAGATCTGACCTCCCTCGGTCGCCCTTCAATGTCCAACACGGGCTCAGAGGATGGGGAATTCGATATCGCCCAAAAATTACCGCCCGATTTTAAACTTGCGAATATCAGAATATTCCCCACAAAAGCAGCTAGCGTCCGTGAAAAAGTCCTGACTTCTCAAGGTCATTCTTCAAGGTCAAATCTAGGCTCAAACGACAAAAAACTTCATATCACCCAAAAATTACCCGCCGATTTTGAACTTTCAACTGTCAGAACACTCACCACAAGAAGACCGAGCGTCCGTGAAAAAACCCTGACCTCTCAAAGTCATTCTTTAAGGTCAAACTCAGCCTCAAAGGGCGGGGAACTCCACATCACCCAGAGATTACCGGCCGATGCTCAGCTTGCAACTGATAGAATATTCGCCATAGAAAGAACTAGCGTCCATGAAAAAGCCCTGACCTCTCAAGATCGTTCTTCAAGGGCAAACGCAGACTCAAAACACGGGGAACTCCATATCACCCCAAAATTACCAGCCGTTTTTAAACCTGCCACCGTCAGAATGTTCACCACAGAAAAATAGCGTCCGTGAAGAAGTCCTGACCTCTCAATGCCATTTCCTCAAGGCCATTATTCAAGGTCAAACGTGGGCTCCAAGGACGGGGAACTCCATATCACCCAAAAATTACCGGCCGACTTCAACTCGCAAACATCAGAATATTCACCTAAATATTGGCCTTGAAGGAATATTAGAATATTGGCCCTGAAGGGTGACCTTAAGAGGTGAGGACTTTTTCACAAACGGTAGTTCTTTCTGTGGTGACCATTCCGATGTTTATAAGATGAAAATCGGCCAGTATTTTTTTGGTGATATCGAGCTCACCGTCCTTTAAGTTCACGTTTGACCTTGAAGAATGAACTTGAGAGGTCAGGATTTTTTCCACATATTTTTTCCTCTTTCTGTGGTGAATATTCTCATATTTGCAAGTTGAAAATCGACCGGTAATTTTTGGGTGATATCGAGTTCCCCGTCCTTTGAGCCCGTGTTCGACCTTGAAGGATGACTTTGAGACGTCAGGACTTTTTGACGCGACGCACCACTTCAGCCGGTCGCGCCGGTAAACAGGTGGGTACGCTGAGTCAGCCCGCGCAGCCGGGACCGGCGCCAGCTGCAGCCTGACGGGGCGGTGCCGCGAGCGGCGCCGACGGCATCAAGCACCGGCCACGAGCCGAGCGAGCGCTTGTGGAGACGACTGGCTAGGCATGAGGGGATGGGGGCGCAGACAAGGATGAGGGGCGCCCCGGGGCCGTCATGCTATTTTAACACCTGACAGTCAAGAAGTCTGCGTACACCCAGTCATCTTACTAGCAATCCAGTAAGATCCATCGCCACCGAGTGTATATATCCAAGCGAGTCGAAGTTGAGATATTCTGTTCTCTTACAATGAGTTTCCACTGAGGTCCGACCCTCCCCTCCTCTCCAAAAAAGGCTGCGCCCCTGTGCTGGGGTGGTGATTGATACTTTATGATCCATTTCCAGACAGGCTTAACTAAACGTTTGAAGTAGCACGTTCGCAGCCTGGGCGAGGTCCTATGCTAGATACACACGGTATTGTGTGACATTTCGACAACACTTGTATTACAGCACGGTTAAAATCATACTTCGGATGTAGCAAAGCCCTACAATAATGCAGGGATATAAATAAGCATCTGGGGGCGACAAATCCGACATCGCCGAAACATCTGTTGACTAGATTCGTAGCAACTGAGGCTTGACATGTCCCACCATCTCGATATATCTCGAGATTCAACAGAGACTTTGCGGCGGTTATTGCAGCGCACCCGGTCATAAAGCGAGAACACTTCCTAAACAACAGCGCAATCCTGCACGGTTCGACACGCCCACCCCCAGCCACGCCTCACTCTCGAGCCAGAACACATTCCACATCAACGGTGGAACTCCCGGCCAAGCGACACTTTCTCCACCCTCCCCCTCGCGCGCCAATCCTTCCCTGCAATCCCATTCGACCCAGACGGCGCGCGGTCCCTCCGACGCTCCAGCCCAGCCCTATCCTCCCAAGAGGCACGCTCCAGCGACCCGTGTTTGGCCATAAGGCCGGCAGCGCTCGCCGCCACAGGGCGCCCCCGCAAACAGCTGACCAGCGCGATGTCACGACCTAGCGGTGTCGCCCAGCGCTGCGCACGGGGGCGGTCCACCCGGCCGGGGGCGTGCCGAGGCAGCGATTCGAGATCAGGGGGCACGGAGCCGACGCGCCCGGTGCATTCGCGCGGCACCAGGGTTACTCCAAGCGGCCAGGGTCTGCAATGGTCGATGGTCGGTCTCGGAACACTGATATGTGGATAAGGCGGATTGCTCCGGTAGACAAGGGTCCAATGGCGGATCGGCGGGTGGGGCTGGGCTGGATAACTGAGCACGCGCGAACGCGAGCGCGACATTACACGCGACAAAGCGTGCACTAGCATGGACGGATGCTTCGTACTAGCGTGTCTAACACGGTCCCCGGCGGGCGCGCAAAGTGCCTGCAGGGTTGCTCACTACCGACAAACGATCAATCCAGCCTTATCTCCAATCATCTCTGTACTCGACACCTGCCAGTACTATTTGTGCTCAAGGGCCCAGCATCAGCGAGAGCGCACAGCGCCCGCGGCTCGCGGACCACGCGGAAGGACCGATTTTCCGACAGCGCCTCTCCCTGACCCGCCCCCGCGCCACGCCGCGGCAGCGTTACACCTCGATCGACAGCTCCGCTGCGCCCGAGCCCTCCTCCCAGCTGGCCCCGGCGGCGCCGGAGCCCTCCTCCCAGCTGGCCTCGGCGGCGGTGCGCGGCCGCTTCCAGATCCGCTCGAACTCGTCCCGGCTGGTGCCGGCCGAACCGGGCCGTTTGAGGGAGTCCTCAGCCGTCGGTGGCCGGCCGGGCCCGGCGTCGCTCGGCCAGAGCGGACAGCCGGCCGCGCCAGGCGCGTCCTCGCCGCAGTCCTGAGACCGCGTTCCGTAGAAGTTCAGCTCCAGTACCGGCGCGGCGTCGGCGACAGGCGGCACGCACGCGCACACGGCGCCATCCGACGGCGAGTCGGGCAAGCGCAGCTCCAGGATGTCGCCGCTAGACGTCTCCTCGAACGTGTCGAGCGTGGCGCGGAGCGGCGGCGTCGGTGGTCGCGCCGCAGCCGTCGCCGCCGCTGTCACCGTCGGCGGCGGCGGTCCCGATGCTCCCGCCGCGAACTGCCGATGCGGTGAGAGCACACCGCTGGACGTCACCACCGAGTCCTCGGGCGAGGCGGGGCTGAGCGGCGCCGCGCCGCCAACCGAGCGGCGCGGCGTGCTGGCGGCGGCGGCGGTCGCGCGGCGCGGCGAGCCGACCGGCAGCTCGGGGAACTCGTCCACCAGTTCGGCGCTGCCCAGCGACTCGTCGACGGTCGTGGCGTCGAAGTCGATGAAGTCGTCCGACTGGAGGCCGCTCTCAGAGGCGGCCGAGGCCGACCCCGCCGGGTAGAAGCGGTCGTAGATGAGGCGCGCCGAGATCTGACAGTGGGGGGGGGGGGGGGAGTCAGGAGTGGAGCTCAAGTCGCCAGGAACAGGGGTCCGGTGACCAGGAGCAGAGCAGACAGACCCCGACAGGTACGCTAGGCGGCACAGGAGCTCCTCCAGGAGCTCCTGCAGGAGCTCCAGGAGCTCCTGCAAGCGCAGGAGCTCAGCACCTTTCCAGCCCCTGACCACATTCCTACACTAAAACAGCAGCCCCGGATCCCTGCTGACTCCCTCCCAGCCATCCACGGACAGAGGCCTACTACATCAGCAAGCGTACTGCGCTCTCCACCCGCACCCGACCCTCTCGCTGCCCAACATCCGGTCGCTCGGTGCCCGGCCCGCCCAGCCCACCTCTCTGGTGCGGACGGCGTCCAGGTCGTAGCCAGTGTACCAGGCCTCGCGGCCCAGCTTGAGCAGGCTGTTGAGCCGGTGGCGGGGCTCCGGCGTGAGCAGGCGCGCCACCAGAGCGCGCGCCGCCGCCGTCACGTGACACGGCAGGCGGAAGGAGGCGGCCAGCTGGGCGCGCCGCATCTCCACGTGGTCGCGCTCCGGCGGCGCCGGGTACTGCCGGGATAGAGGACGTCGGCACGGTCCCAGCGGGGGCGCCACTACCGAGCGAGCCGGGGCAGACGCAGGCGGGTGTGAGGGTGTGCGGCAGCCGGCTGGAGGATATTGAGGACCAGGAGAGATAACTGGAGACGTGTCAGGCGTCGCGTGCGGAAGAGATCGTGGGCACGGGTCAGGAATGGTGTCCGAAGAAACCAGCGGGGACAGTTGGACAACCTCACGACTGCACTAAAAAATCCTATCCCAGCCCGTGAAAATATTTCCGCAGGTTCGAACGTGGGTCGACTATGAAGAAAGAACATCACTGGGCGGAAAGACTGGAGAGGCGTGCCCTTGCACCAGTCAGCTGACAACGCATCATGCACCGAAAGGACAAATCCAGTCGTGACCAATCAAAAAGCACTGAGCACTGAGCGAGGAACTTCCAAGAATTTGGGGGAATCAGGTCGGTATGTAAGGGCCTATTATTCATATCTGGCTTTGGCAATAGTTTCCGTCGTCAATATCCAAGAAGCGAACTGGACGCATCATGTGCCACCACAGGACGCCAAGGCTACAGTCACGCCGGGGGCCCGCGGGCGCCCTTAAGCACGCCGCACGCAGGATGTCGGGCCGGCACTCACGCTCCCCGAAAGCAGGCAGAAGGCGACCACGCCGAGCGACCACCAGTCGACGGCGTGCGAGTACGCCTGCAGGTCCAGCAGCTCCGGCGCTGTCGGCGCATGCGCGTACGGTGAATGTACAGCTGGGCGGCTCGGATACGGCTCTTGGGGTCGCCCACCGAGCAGGGCTTAACGCGATTTATGTCTGACGGCGTGGAGCTGAGCAGAGTCCGAGGCACACGAATGCGAATATACAGCAACTACACGAATGTGCTGCAGCGGCGCGTTTTCCGCGGCAGCTGGAAGGGAAGACGTGGATCTTGTTACCCGCACCTGGACGTATTACCAGCACTTTTGATAGCCAAACATGTGACAGAAGACAAGCCAAAAATATGACAGAACACGCCAACACGCCGGCGTGAGCAGATATTCACACAGGACCGCTTTCACGCGCCCGCCGTGGCACGCCAGGTATTTCCCAGGTTTCTCTGCGACTGTGTTGTGCCTGCATCACTCAGCCGTACAAGCAAATAACGTCCAACGCGCTCTAGATGGTTTCTGGACCGAAGCACACGTAACCGGCAATTTCCTGGTTCGTGTAACTATCTAGAAGCCTGTAAGTTGCGTCCCCACGCTTACCACCAATACATTGTGTCCACCAGGGGCGCAATAGCCTCTAAAGGGTAGAAGGCGGAAGGGAAGGGTATAAACGACACGCGAAATATGCTATTCTTCCATAAAGCAACACGCTAAGGCTCATGTTTTAGAGCTGGGAGACAGGGTCCGACGCCAACGGCGTCAGCAGCCCGACAATGGTCTCGTGGGCGTGACTCACCCATGTACTGCAGTGTGTCGCTCAGCGTCTGGGTGCGGGCACCGTGCCGACAATGGCCTCGTGGGCGTGACTCACCCATGTGCTGCAGTGTGTCGCTCAGCGTCTGGGTGCGGGCAACGTGCCGACAATGGCCTCGTGGGCGTGACTCACCCATGTACTGCAGTGTGCCGCACAGCGTCTGGGTGCGGGCACCGTGCCGACAATGGCCTCGTGGGCGTAACTCACCCACGTACTGCAGTGTGCCGCACAGCGTCTGGGTGCGGGCGCCATGCCGCAGCCACTTGGCCAGGCCGAAATCGATCAGCTTTACATGCATCTCGCCGTCCAGCAGCACGTTCTCCAGCTTCAGGTCCCGGAATATCACGCCAGCGTTGTGCAGGAAGTCTGACGGCGGGACAGTCGCCGTTCGCACGTCAGGGACGACGGAACTCGAGGTGGTGGGACACTGTATGACCCCGCACCGGTTCGGCTGCATGGCTACGCTACCGCACCGCAGGCATTAGCCGCAGGTTATGAACGGTACACGTTTTGACAACTGCATGGGTTGGGCGAAATCCGCTCATTGCCTTCTCAACTTCAGGGCGTGTATCAAGCACCTGTCCCGGAAAGTCTCGCAGTTTGTCAGAGGGGCTCTATGAAAAACCGTGCTTCCGCAGCAATGCAGCCGATTACACGCCATCTATCCTGAAGAGCGACCCGCGCCTGACGGCCCCGGCCGCGTGGTCCGGCTCCAGCGGCCCCTCCCCCCCCCCCCTCGGCGATACCCGCGACCCGGACACTCACCCAAAGCGGTGGCTAGTTCGGCCACGTACAGCTGTACTAGCTGCTCGTGCAGTGAGCCGTGCCGCATCCAGAGGTCGCGCAGCTCCCCGCCCGGCACCAGCTCCTGCACTGCGTCGGGAGGGCGGGCGGTCACGGCTGGAGGCGCGTAACACGGGCGCGGGCTGGGGAGGCGGGACACGGGAGCGGGACACGGGGAGGCGGGATACGGAGTAAGGTCTGTGGAGGCAGGGCACGAAACACGGACTCTGGCAGGCGGGACACGGGGCGCAGGCTGGGGAGGCACGGGACACGGGGAGGAGGGATACGGAGTACGGGCTGGGGAGGCGGGTCACGGGGAGCAGGCTGTGGGGGCGGGACATGGGGCGCGGGCTGGAGAGGCGGGACACGGGGCGCGGGCTCGGAAGGGGGGAGGAGGGGGGGGGGGGCACGAGGCGCGGGCTGGAGAGGCGGGACACGGGGCGCGGGCTCGGAAGGGGGGAGGGGGGGGGGGGCACGAGGCGCGGGCTGGGGAGGCGCGACACGGGCGCGGGCTGGGACGAGCGAAGATCGCTCACAAGGGATGGAGCGGAACACGGGAGCATGGCATGGGACGTGATCTGGAGCAGGAGCGTAAAATGGCACTAGGGGGCGCCTCATGGTCCTCTCTTCCCCTAGCCGCGAACACCATGCAGAAAAGACGACATCAAAACAACCCTCCACATAACAGAGCAAGCATCGGAAGACACTGTCAAAAAACAGTGTGGTTTTCCACATGTTGACTGATCAGAGGTAAATAGGACCTCTGTGATACAGTGCCGATATATAATCAAAAGCCGAGCATAAGCAGCGTTAGCTCGCGGGGCACCCCCGCACCTGTGACACGAAGGGTAAAACACAATTGGTCATACATTTATAACCTTATCTCCACCTATACGCACGCATCAGGATAATGCACGTTTTACCGCAATCGCAACTGAGTTCCAGCTTGGCAACAACTCAGACAATCTAACATTTTCCCAGTATGACGTAAAATCACAACGTTCAATTTTACGTACCAACCCAGCGCACAAGACAGGAAAAGGCCTCCGGTTAATACAAGCATGATCGACCGACAGGTCTCTTTACAAGCAAGAGAGCCAACGCTGACAGACCAGAAGCGGAACGCCGAAAGCCTATCAACTCACGGCGTACAGCAAAAACCTTCAGTGCACAGCCAAGCAAAAACCGAACCCGATCAGGAGACCACTGCCAACACCAAGGGAGCCTCTCCTTTGGTCCGCGCGCTACGGCCGTACCGGAGGCCTCCCTCTCGATCTCTCGCTGGACCCGGGCGTCCGCCTCGGCCCGCCCAGCCGCCTACTCACGGACAAACAGCTGCTTGCGGGTCTGCCAGCGCTCCGGGCAGGCCACCACGTACGGGTGGTGGCCGCACGCCGCCTGGATGCTGACCTCGTCCTTGACCTGGGCGATGGCACCCTCGCGCACCACCTGCGGCCGGGTCAGGTCGCTGAGTCATCAGGACAAGGGTCGGGTTACAGTGGTCGCCCCAGAGGCCTTAGGTCAGGTCACTGAGGTCACTCAAATGTGTCTAGGCTGTTGGGGTTGGCTACATATGCCAGGCTCAGATACCTCGCAAAGACCTGTTTTACGTAACGAAGACAGACGCCGGCCCTTGTTCCGTCGGACCTTGCCGACAATTGAGATCGCATGGTAACTCGCCACCTTCGCCAATAATTGACGCCTCGCCGCATGACACAGCCGAATCACTGGCAAGCCTGTGCCCGAGTGTGCGACAATTGCCACGTGATGGGGGTAGATGTACAGCGCGAGCCTCTCCACAAGCTAGAGAATCACATGACACAGCGATAACTTGAGACTTACGTGGGCTTTCGACAGTATCTTCAGGGCGTACGATTCGCCAGCCTCCTCGTGCGCCACCTGGTAGACCTTGCCAAAGGCGCCCGACCCCAGCGTCTTCACCACCTGCCGCCGCGGTCAGGTGCCGATCATCAGTCACGGCGGCAAAGGTCGATGACTCCAACAGCAACACATCACGGCGGCGCCGGCAGCCAAACACAACAAAGGGGGCTTACAATTACTTTCCACTCTCCAGCGCAGGCGAATCCCGTCCGCGGCACCGCCTTAGCCTCAGCCTCCAGGGCACATTCGGCGTCAGAGTACAGGCCGGTCCGGAGCTGACCCCTTGACAGTGGATACACGCTCACACCGACAACGCTTCAGCGGAAGGAGGCGGCAGTCAGCGCGGCTCGAGGAGCGGGGTGTGGCGGCGCGCCTCACCCGGTACAGAGTCTCGTGGCACCGCTCCCGGATCGGGAAGTCGGGCAGGAAAAGCGACTCGACGAGCGTCACCGGCCAGGCCGTCTTGCAGCCGAGCAGCGGGTCCTCCAGCGTGGTCTGGCTCCAGCTGCGGTGCAGGAGAGCGGTCAGGCGAACCCCCGGCGACAGGGCGCCGCGGCGTCCGGCACCGGCCAACAGCACGGGCAGACGGCAGTGTTCATTATACATTAGGAACACGTGCCCTGTGAATTATGCGTTCCCTCCTCCCAACAGCCTTCGTATGCAACTTGGGAACACATCCTCAACGAAAAACGTCACGTGATAATGTGCGAAATATCTCCGCGTGGTCACGTGTCCCAACACCGCGTCATGCGATATCCGGGAGCCCCGTGAGACGCCCCACCCCGGCGGGTCACACACCAGTCCCATGCCCAGTTCACGGTGATAACTCACAGTGGATCGCTCCATTGCGCTGCACAGCATGAGCCCGCACAAACCGCTGCACCGCTGGCTGGAGACCGCACCGGACCGTCGGCTCACAGCACGGGGCCATCCACCGGACACCCAAACCTAGCCATCCCGCTCTCAACATGGGATGCAAAACCCGGCTGCATCGTTAGCGGTAGACACAAGACCAGGGCTCCTGGCTGAACTGGCTGTGACGCACGCGGACGAATGACATCAGGACCGTTGGCACTCAGCGGGGTACGCGACAGTACCGTTCGCAGAAGGCGCGCGGAAACTCCGCCTCAGACTGCCGTCTGGGGCAGTCGGTCGGTGGGTACGTCGTCCGACTACCACCTTTCCGTGGAGTCGGCCAGCTTGGCTTTTTCCGTTTTCCGGGAGTGTGACAGCGTACCTGTGGTAGACTCGGAGCCTGGCTCTGATATCATTCGCTAAATATGCTCCTTTCTCATGTTCGGAAGACGGGACAGCGTTGTCTGCGAGGGACGCGAGACTCATGCCTCAGACTGTGCCGTTCCTGCGAGACAAGGTACAAGGGCCCATGCCGTACCGTTTGCGGGAGACGCGGGACCAGGGCCGGCCGGGGCTGCGCAGCGAGCCCGACGAGCGGCCGCTGCGCCAGCTAACGCTGGTCATCTCGGACAGACGGTCGCCCAGCAGCGAGAGCCGGCCGCTGACGTTGTGGGCGAACCCCGACCAGCTGAGCTGCGGCCGAAGGCGGGTGGCGTCAACGGTCCGAGCGGTGGCATGTGGGGAGGGGTGGGTAGACCGCAGGGTATAACAGGCAAGTGGCGGCAAGACTGAAGAGCTCAAATATGATTCTGACCATGAAAAATGAATGAAATGCAGTAAGTGTTGTGATGATGGTATGTGCAATGAACAATTAAAGCCATCCTGTTACAAAAGAACTATTCTCAAACACATCACATGAAATACAACTCTTCTGAAAACAGATCAAAAGATCCTGCTGGATGTGTTGAACAAAAAGATCATCTGAAAAAAGCATGACAAGACATTATCTACTAAATAAATGCACAGAGTTTGCATGAACTATGCTTTTCATGAAAAACAATAGAAAATGGAAGGATCACTGGCAGCATCAAAGCCATTGACACATAATTTTGATGGTGCTCATCATCAGAGTTGTTACATACATGCATTCAATTTAACGGCTAAGCTTTGGAGGGGCCTCACAATTTTTCAAAAAGCATTGATCAGAAATCAAAGCCATTTGGCAAGCAACTTGCTCATCCATAAAATGCAAAACAGGCATTCAACTTGACCTTGATTAAGGCAAACATCATGCCAAATCTAGGCTCCACCCTTGGCTTCAGCAACCTCAGGGGATGGTGAGGCCTTGGGCATGGTCAGTCAGCTTAATTGGGAGATATAGAACCAGTGGAGAGGCCATATTAGACCATGCACCATCAAAGCTCCTGTATGGGTCATGCTGACTGTGCAATGTATTAATCATAT